GATAGTGTCAGGAAAACAAACTTGTTTTCTTGACACTATATCATCCTTGGGACCTCCCCACCCTCAGGGTCCCTCTCCCTTGCCCCTGAAGGGGTTAAAATTCAGCGCCGGGCTCCATCGGCGCTGGTGACCTCTCCTCCCCCGCCGACATCAGCTCCCGAGTGCGCACGCGTTTAACCCCTTAAGGACACATGACATGTGACATGTCATAATTCCCTTTTATTCCAGAAGTTTGGCCCTTACGGGGTTAAACAGTCCATAGGAAAGATTTGACCTGCAGCAGGTAGAAACTGGCTGCCGTTTTGAGTCACTCTGCAAGAAAACAGGCATTAGCTTTAGCCGAGATTCTCTGAAGCAAAGAGGAAGTTGAGGCTCTCTGGCTATATTTGTTTTGCATTGCGATGCAAGCTGGAAGTTAACATAGGCTGGGTTAAGCAGAATTTGGGTTTTATCTCTTAGAGCTTCCTCTGGTTTATGTGTGATGTAAATCTACAGACCGATTACATTGCTTTTTATTTGTGTTGCTGGCTCATAGGGGCGTTTTTGTGTTTCGGTAACTTTTGGATCTGGTTTCCTCACTGAAATTACTGTTCTATGTGGATCAATGGTCCGTTCCAATCCTAAAATCTAGATTGTTAGAACAGGTGTAGAAAACACTAATTTTACTCGTTATTTAAAGGGGATATCATTCAGTTTGTATAGAATTTTACATTCTATAGTGTGTGTGTTTTTTTTAAATTTACTTTTTGATAATTGATAATTTAATATTGATTATCATTACTTTTATTTTATTTTTTAAAGTTTTGGTAAATTTCACAGAGCACGTATTTGGGAGTAATGTCTGTATTGGATGAGTAAAAAAATAAAGTTATGACCTCCTAATGGTAATTCTAGTGAAGCTCTGCCACATGGTGGTTTTTAGTTTCCAATCTCTGCTGCTTTATGGTAATTCCAGAGAGGTTGCGGTGGTTTGTACAGTCGACCATGGCTGGTTTATGGTAATTCCAGAGAGGTTGCGCTTGTTTGTACAGTCGACGATGGCTGCTTTATGGTAATTCTAGGGAGGTTGCGGTGGTTTGTACAGTTGACGATGGTTGCTTTATGGTAATTCCAGGGAGGTTGCGGTGGTTTGTACAGTCGACCATGGCTGGTTTATGGTAATTCCAGACAGGTTTGCGCTTGTTTGTACAGTCGACGATGGCTGCTTTATGGTAATTCTAGGGAGGTTGCGGTGGTTTGTACAGTCGACGATGGTTGCTTTATGGTAACTCCAGAGAAGTTGTGTTTTTAGAGTTATGTTTTAGTCATCAATTTTATATTGGGTGTAAATATTGTTGGGCTTGGCTGTCAAACAAGTAAAACTATGTGCGTGAGGTGTTTGCATAAATACAGGTGATACTCGAAAAATTTGAATATTGTGCAAAAGTTCATTTATTTCAGTAATGCCAGGCAAAAAGGGGAAACTAATATATGAGACGCATTACATGCAAAGCAAGATAGTTCAAGCCGTGATTTGTCATAAGTGCGATAATTATGTCTTACAGCTCATGAAAACCCCAAATCCACAATCTCAGTAAATTTAGAATATTGTGAAAAGGTGCAATATTCTAGGCTCAGTGTGTCCCACTCTAATCCGCTAAGTAAGCCATAACACCTTCAAAGGGTTTCTGAGCCTTTAAATGGTCTCTGTCTGGTTCAGGAGGAATCACAATCATGGGGAAGACTGCTGACCTGACAGTTGTGCAGAAAACCATTGACACTCTCCATAAGGAGGGAAAGCCTCAAAAGGTAATTGTGACGGAAGTTGGATGTTCCCAAAGTGCTGTATCAAAGGACATTAATAGAAAGTTATGTGGAAGGGTAAAGTGTGTAAGAAAAAGGTGCACAAGCAGCAGGGATGACCACAGCCTGGAGAGGATTGTCAGGAAAAAGCCATTCAAAAGTGTTGGGGACTTTCGCAAGTCCCCAACTGAGGCTGGAGTCAGTGCATCAAGAGCCACCACACAGACGGATCCTGGACATAGGCTTCAGATGTCGTATTTCTCTTGTCAAGCCGCTCCTGAACAACAAACAACGTCAGAAGCGTCTTACCTGGGCTAAAGAAAAACAGACCTGGTCTGTTGCTCAGTGGTCCAAAGTCCTCTTTTCTGATGAGAGCAACTTTTGCATCTCATTTGGAAACCAAGGACCCAGAGTCTGGAGGAAGAATGGAGAGGCATACATTGCAAGATGCTTGAAGTCCAGTGTGAAGTTTCCACAGTCTGTGTTGATTTGGGGAGCCATGTCATCTGCTGGTGTTGGTCCACTGTGCTTCATTAAGTCCAGGGTCAACGCAGCCGTATACCAGGAGATTTTGGAGCACTTCATGCTTCCTTCTGCAGACAAGCTTTATGGAGATGCTGACTTCATTTTCCAGGAGGACTTGGCACCTACCCACACTGCCAAAAGCACCAAAGCCTGGTTCAATGACCATGGGATTACTGTGCTTGATTGGCCAGCAAACTCGCCTGACCTGAACCCCATAGAGAATCTACAGAGACATGAGACCGAACAATGCAGAAGAGCTGAAGGCAGCTATTGAAGCATTCTGGTCTTCCATAACACCTCAGCAGTGTCACAGGCTGATAGCTTCCATGCTACGCCGCATTGAGACAGTAATTCCTGCAAAAGGGGCCCGAACAAAGTACTGAGTCCATATGCATGCTTATACTTTTTCAAAAGGTCCGATATTGTTCTATGTATACTCCTTGTTTTATTGATTGCATGTAATATTCTAATCTACTGAGATTGTGGATTTGAGGTTTTCACGAGCTGTAAGCCATAATCATCGCACTTATGACAAATCACGGTTTGAACTATCTTGCTTTGCATGTAATGCGTCTATCTCATATAGTAGTTTCTCCTTTTACGTAGCATAACTGAAATAAATGAACTTTTGCATGATATTCTAATTTTTCAAATATCGTGTGTGTGTGTATTTTGTCTTTCAAATTGTAAAGTAGATAATGTTGAATGATGTGTCCTCTTTTGTTTGTGCCTGGATAATGGTCAAGGTAACCAAACCTTGTAGTATTCTGAATTGCATGGTGGGTGGCCAGATCAGTCCTAGATGGAGTCATTTCAGGCAGCGTAGGTGGCCATGGTACAGTGTAATTTTGGTAAATTGGCCATCTTTGAAATGAATATATTTTATTTGTTTTTACCAATTGGTTTTGGGTTGGGGAAATGATTGATATCTGTAACTGATAAATAAAAAAAAATATATATTTACTGGCTCTCTGTTGGGAATATATATATATATATATATATATACACACTTGTTAAGCATTTCTGACGGCTTTGTCATGTTAAAAGTAGGTTGTAGGCATTTGATTGCAGGGACTGTGCATGGATACCCCCAGGCTTGTGTTGTGTATATAATCAGTATGTATGTAGCCAGAATGTTATTTCAGTGTCTGCGTGTGTACATAACAGACCTAGCATAAATAAATGCACACATTCTCCGTTCTTTGTGCACAGTGTAAATATTTGCAGCCTTACTCTTGTTGAGGGTCATATTATTTGAACTCTCTCCCTCCCCACAAGGCCCACAATCTGAATAAGCCTCTTTATCTCTTAGCTGGGCACCATTCCACGGAAATCAGCATGGCTGAGTCATGCGCTGCCCCCGGCACTGATGCACGCTCTGCCAGGGGCCAGGACAGTGGGGGTTGGAGAGAAGAATACAGTCAAAGATTTGTGGTAGGGATGGGAGTAATTCTCATTTTGTTTTGGAGTGCTCCGATATGGCCTCAATGAGGTGTTTCACAAACTCTTTGTGAGCTTCCAAGTTATGATTTATCTGTTAATCAGCTAAATTCTACCCATCAGAACCTGTTTCTAGTGCAGTATAATTGTAGATAAAGAGCCATTGTCAAAAGCTTGTATAAATGCTGAAAGAATTTGAGAAAGTATAATTCTAAACTTATTATCCAGCATGGGGATAGTAGACTAGGGCAAAAATTAGTTTTGCCTGAAACAAATTTCTTTTAATCCGTACCAGGACACCTCAAACGTCCAGGATTTACTTTTTGAGTCCAATTTAATGACGTTAAATTTCAAGACGTTCGGGTTAAAAGGAACTTTATTTAGAAAACTGTCCACACTCCTTTTTGCAGAAGTCTTGGGTATAGTAAATGTATTCACTGAATCTTATTATATTGAAGACTGCAAGATTCACCAAGTAAGAAAACGGGAAACTACGTGCAATGTCATATTGCTCTTTCAGACTTATTGTGCAACGGCCATCTCATAGATCACTCTTGTGCAACCATAAACTGAAAATATAAAGAAGAGAACCAAACATCCTGCCATCCTCTACAAGTCTTAATAAAACAATGTGTATATACTGCTGTTAAAGTGATGGCAATTTGCAGTGATAGTCTACAAACAGGTATACATAATGGCTGCAGCCTGACCAATAACATTTGTAATGGAGGATGTAAGATGCACCCCGATTCCAGATCAGTTAAACTGTGTAACGAATGCTTTACAATCCATAGAATCTTAACAAGAGCGGTTCACATTTCTTGGTGCATGCAGACCTCCATAGGATGCATGCTTGGTCCTGGTACCAATATACAGGTAAAAGTAACCTTTTACTCACAAATAGAAAACAATAATATACACGCTGTGAAGGACAGATAAATAGCTCTAAAACACCTAAAAAGTGGTATCCCTTACACCACTAAAAACATAATACAATACATACAGAGTTATAGGTGGAGCTGTGTGGTATCTTGAACAATCTATTTTTACTTTTAAGGTCACAATATACAGACGTTTGTAGCTGGTATAATACCAGCTACAAACGTCTGTATATTGTGACCTTAAAAGATACCACACAGCTCCACCTATAACTCTGTATGTATTGTTTTACTCACAAATGTCAGTAATTATGAAACCAGTGAGCGAGAAAGCTGGGTTTTCCTTTAAATCCAGGACTCCACAAACCCCACGCCATGGGAAACAAAGCTGAAATTGAACTTTATGGGGGTAGTTCTTTCCCTGGTCGGAAAATGAGCAGGCTGTCTCTGTATTATTGTGGTGTGATCCGTCCCTTGCCCCGACTCTGTGAGGAAGTGATGCCCTGCTCGCATTCTCGGCCTGCACCCCTTGTGGGAGAACATGGCTTGCTAAAGCTGTCTCTGATTCACGTGAATGCTGAAACAGCCTGTTTCACTATTAGTTTGTTAGACACCAGGATCAGGGCTACTCCTAAATCCACATTAATCACTCTATCCTTGTAATTGCAATATTTTCTACTCATTTTGTTTTACTTTATGAATTCATAATCAATGGTAAAATATTTGGGAGTGATGGTGGCAGGGGGGCTAAAAATTTGAAGGAAGAATAAATTGAGGGGTGGGGGTGCAAGTTATGTATAAAGAATGGCACAGTTTTTGTATGAAATATTACATGCGCAAACAAATATATCATACATGAAAACAAATGTAAAATATTTACTGCATTACTTCTATTGATAGCATTCAGTGTTAGTGACTGGCTAGATGTGGTCTTAATGTCTTGCATTTGTCTGGTGATTTTTTTGCCTTTTATGGTAAATTCTGATGTATGTGAAGCTCTGCTTTAATCATTTACTTGTATTTATTTATTTTTCCCCCTCCAGATCTTTCCAGGAACAGATTCACTGAAATTCCTGGTGACATTTGTCAGCTCGTATCACTTGAATCCCTTAATCTGTATCACAACTGTCTGCGCAGTGTACCCCTCGCTATATGTAACCTGCAGGTCCTCACCTATCTCAACATCAGGTAAGAAAGGCATGGAGTGTAAAAATAAAGAAATGCAGGGCAAAGGGGAATGACTGCTCAGAGAGGATCAGATCCTCAGTGTAGATAAGGAGCCACCTTGTGTGGAAAGGTTAGAGGACGCCAACTTACCTCCCTACATGTAGAATGCTGGGAATCATCACTCGATCTACATTAAAAGGGGAACGTTCATGTAACGGCACCCTCAGCATAAAAGGGTTAAACCGCCGTTTAGAAGATCTTCCCCTTCCAGAGATACAGGCAGAGCTACTGCAGAACACCAAACTCCCGCATATAAGGGAATGCTCCAAACTCCCGAATTGGAACCTCACGAATAGCTGCTAGCAGACGAATAGGAAAAGCACCCAAGCGGCTTACACTCCTAGCAATCAGTCTCTATCAGCATACAGTAAATCCCCCCCCTCCCCCCCCCCCAAGAACGAGACAGAGCTCCGTCTTGATGGTCAAGCAGTGGTCTGTTTAATGAGGGCTACCTGCCCAGTATTTATGCAGGTCTCCCACCTGGTGGACACTCCCCTAGGGGACCAGATGGAAGAATGTGACAGACATTGTAGCAACCAATCACAGGGTACACACTTAGCCATTCCCCTTTTCTTACCCAGAACCCTCTGCTCAAAGAGATAATTGTGAAGTAATTCAATTATCTCCCAGGACAGAGCCCAAACGCCAAGGCATTCAACATGTCCCCAGATAGCTAGGATCTGAGCGCAGCAAAGTACCGAATCGTGCTCAGATCCTATGCACAAAGTCCAATCGCTGTGGAGCCAAAGTGTTCAGAAAGACAGTTTTCATACGAATGAGCTCCACGGGATTCCTATCTGGGGTATGGTGTATTCGGGTACAACTACCGAATATAGGGCCGTTCGTGCACGTCTACCGAACAAGAAGGGAGGTCGGCGGCTTCAGCGGTGTTCGCGCCAAAGTGTATCAGTTTTCAGTTCCATCACATATTCAAGGATATAATCTTTCAATGTAGGGTAATAACTGCTTGATCCAAGGATAAATCTGACTGCCATTGTGGGGTCAAGAAGGAATTTTTTTTCCTAGCTTGTCGCAAAATTTGGATCAACAGCAAAAAACAAATGTGAGGTAGGCTGAATTTGATGGACGCAAGTCTCTTTTCAGCTATGTAACTATGAGTTGGGTGTCGAACACTGCTGTGCGTTTGCCTGTTTAAAATGGCCGTGACCTTGTGTTCGGTGTACGAATGGCGGCCACCCAGCATTCATCAATCAAGCTGCGGTTAACCGCAGCTTCAGGGAGGTGAATTGCCGACACACGCCAGCTCCCAGGTGGTCCAGTCATTCGTGCGTTAGTTCGGTAGATTAAATCTACCGACCACCGGGCAGAAAGGCACAAATAAGCCTTTTCTGCAGGGGAAAAGAAGCTTTTAACATGGGGCCATAATCCAAAGGCAACAGGCGAGCAACCAGGCTTCTCCAATGCAATGTGGCGAGATTGGTCTAGTCACAGTTCACTTCTCTGGAAATTACACCATTCAAGAAACATTCAAAATCACTTGTCACGTAACTTTTTTTTTTACTTCTGCATTTAATGTATGGTTTCCTTTTTAAATGTATATTTTAGCATATGACATCACAGTTCTGGCACAGCCAATGGCGCACATTGTGCTGGAGGGGGAGAAACACATTTCTGTATCTCCTCTCTCTCTGTACTGAATGATGGAGGCACCTGGGTCCAGGTTAGAATTAAATATAAAGGTACAGATTTTATTACTTTTTTAAATGGATGCTGTAAGTACCCAGACCACTTCATCTCAGTGGTTGACCCTCCCTTTTCCATATTATAACCCTGCAGCTGAACACTTTGCTGTATGGCGGAAGGGCAGTGTTTTAATTACATGACTTAAATGCCTATTGCCTATTGCTTCCTCCAAAATAGACAATCTACTTAGTGCAGCATGGCGTTTCCTGCCCATGTGCACTACCCTCACATGGCTGAGATCATGGAAACCTAGGAGGCAGAATTACACCGTGGAGACAAAAGTAGATAATTACTTTCAAACATATAGGGGTAAATTAAAGAGAAAAAAGTCACTTCCTCAAGCAATTTGTATTCTGTTTAAAGAAGCACATTTATTGAATGCCATTTATACACCAGATCGGAAGACACAATGTGTGCACCATGCAACCCGTAGTCATTAACTTTTGGCTTTCTCTGATCCATTCCCTCTTTTCCCTCACATAATTAAAATTGAACTTTAGGGAAAAGGATGGAAACGGGTTAAATCTTAGATTATAATCTTCGCAAATCAGTATAAGCTTTCCCAATGATTGCAGAATGATGGCTACATTGTATGTCATTCAATTTACAGGCTGTGATGTCAGGTAAAATACGGAATTCAGAAACTGGAGTGCAGTTTGCTAACTTACATTAAATGTTTTGTCTCTCTCTGTAGCCGAAACCTGATCACCTCGCTGCCTCCCTACCTCTGCCGCCTTCCACTCACCGTCCTCGTAGCCTGTAACAATAGGCTGACAACTCTTCCGGAGGAGCTTGGTGCCATGACCAGTTTGCGCCAATTAGTGAGTTTGCTGTACATCTAAACACATGTGAAGCTTAAAGCACTTTAGATTGCTCAAGTGCTTTGAGTGTAGTGTTATTTTTACAAAAAGTGCAGATGTCAATACAAATAGGCACTTTTACAAATGAACCTTGTAATACCTCCTGGCTGTATGATGATCAGTCCTGTTACTTACTGGTTGTTTATCTCAGTGGAGATAACCTGCATTGCCCAGACCACGTGCCTTGCAAAGACTTCTCATTGAGTTACATTGAGAAGTTTGTGTTTGGACAGCAACAGAAAGAGAGCAGCAGCTTTTTGCAAGATATATTTACTCCCAAAGAAAAAAATGCATAATTAAATGCCTGCATGTTTTCAATATGTGCTGCTCTGATGGTGCAAACATGTTTGCTGGTGCCACACGAGGATGCACTTGCACTCACAGGTAATAAACAGAGCAGGCGATAGCGACATCTAGGTTTGAAAATGACATAATTTGTGTCAGGTGACAGTGAGTCACAGCCAAGGGAATTGTGGCTAGGGCTGCACAAAGTTGTTTGTCTTAAAATTTGAGTAGGGAGACTGCAGGGACTTCATTGTGTTAGGTGTTTTAGTACTTTGACTGTCCCTTTTATACTGCTGCAGTGACATTTTGTGAGACCAGGAAGTGGCTGGGATATCTCATGCCAACCGTGGTCATATCAGAGTTCCCCAAAGGGCTGTTAATGTTTGCAGAATTCATAGTATTCGTAAATGTAATTGCTTTTGATTCATTGGACAAAACTGGGATCTAGTACAAATGAATGAAAGTAGACTGGGGTTTCCATTTAAACCTGCAAGTATTATTATTACTGTTATATTTTTCTTAACAGATAAGAAGGGTTTAGTGGATTTATACCTATAGACATGGCTTGTTATATAACTCCACTGTAAGATATGAGAAAGTTAAATGTTTGCAATTAACTTGTGTGTGTGATCCTAGTGTCTGAAGTGCCCCTTTATCCTACGCCTGGGAATGATTAAAGTATTGTCATATTTTGGTGGAGGTGAACGATCCGTAAATATACATGTCTCTTCTCTCAGGATGTCAGCTGTAATGAGATCCAGATATTGCCTTCAAAGATAGGCTCTCTAGTGTCTCTACGGGAGTTAAATGTGCGGAGGAACCAGCTGTCTACCTTGCCTGAGGGTATGTAAAGTGTTACCTACTGCTGGGCCTTTATACTAGCTGGGCCTCTATACAGTGTTGCCCACTGCTGGCCCCTTATACTGACTGTGCCTGTATACAGTGTTACTGTTGGGCCCTTATACTGACCGATCCTGTAAGTAGTGTTTCTACGGGGCTGTTGGTTCTGACTTGACCTCTATGTAGTGTTTCTGTGTGGCTGTACTGACCTGTCCTCTATGTAGTGTTATTGTGTGGTTGTGTTGACTTGTCCTCTATGTAGTGTTATTGTGTGGCTGTACTGACCGTACATGTATGTAGTGTGTTTGTGTGGCTGTACTGACCGGACCTGTAATTGAACTCTTTAATGGGATATATAATTTCTCCCTAGAACTGTCGGAGCTGCCTCTTACACGTCTGGATTTCTCCTGTAACCGTGTTACTCACATTCCTGTGTGCTACCGACACTTGCGACACCTCCAGACAATCCTCCTTGACAACAACCCATTGCAGTTTCCTCCTGCTCAGGTTAGTGTATAAGCGAGTTAAGAGTTAGAAAACGAACACAGCGCTTTATCACTGTGTGTCACGGAATAACGTGCAGACGGAGAAGGCTTCCAACTCCGTGTTTTACCATACAGGAAATTGCCTGTCTATAGGGTCCCAAAAAGGGAGGACAGACTCATAGCTATTTTATTGTCACATGGAAGGGGGAGGGACAGATTTATAGTGCCTTTACTGACCCTATAACTTATAGTCTGTCTCACTGTGTTCAACTCCTAGATTGTTTTTTTTTTTTTCTCTGATTTCTGTGTTCCTTTTGTATCTTGTTTTAGATTTGTCTTAAAGGCAAAGCTCATATATTCAAATACCTTAATGTAGAAGCCTGTAGCAAGGCCAGGTCTGACCATGGGGGCCTGGGGAAGCTGAGTCGGCCGACAAGTTTTACCACATGGTGAGTTAAAAACACTGGGGATAATATGCATGTTGACATGCAGTGGCAAATACATATTAGGCACTACTGGTTAGACACGTATATCATTGGAAAAGTTGGGTAAAACCACCAAAATACAATGTATATGGATACTTAATCTGATGTTTATGCAAAGATGGCAAAGCAGTAAATGATTAAATATGTATAAAACTATATGATTTCTCAGTCAAAGCAACAAAGAGCAGCTATGCCACAAATGAAATGAAACTGTGCCACTGTGTATTATTCATCCAATCCACATCGAATCCAGAGATTAATGCTGATCAACCAAGGTATTCTTGTTAACTGGATTCCATGTGGATTGGATCAGTAATATAAAGTGTTGCGGTTTCATTTAGGTTTTGGTATAATTGCACTTTGTTGCTGTTTTTTTTTTTATTTTTTTTTTTTATTTGTTTATTTTTTTTTATTTTTTTAACATCTCCTTACTGTGTTTGTTTATTCCCACCACCACCCCCCAACCTGCCACTGTTTTTCTTTCTTTATATAATGATCCTGTCCCATTGTATTCTGTATGTGAAACTGTCATTTATCAATAGTTGATTATATTTATTTGTTTGAAAAAGGACATGGCTACTTTTTTACGATTTAGGTTTGTTACCTGCCCCTAACTCAACTGACAGACTCACGGCCATCTTGGGAAGTATTCATTCTGATGTCTTTCTCTTTTCAAAGTCTCACTGATGATATCTATTCCTCGAGACCGTATGGAGGACTTGACTCTGGCTTCAACAGTGTAGATAGTGGCAGCAAGAGGTGGTCGGGAAATGAGGTAAGATCATGTGAGAGTGGCAGTTGCCAGCCCTCTTACTCTCTTGCTCTGCAGGTTAATTAGTTTCTGTTCTCAGTCTACAGATGAGTTCTCAGAGCTTTCCTTCAGAATTGCTGGACTGGGCAGAGATGCAAAGCAATTCCCAGAGAAACACAATGGGATTGGTAAGTTTTTGTGTGTATAAATTTTTATGTGGGTTTGTATGAAAACTGCTAAAGACAAAGTCTAACACACAATCACCCACACTCACATGATTCTCTGTCTCGGCAGGTTTTAGCCTGTAGGTCAGCCAGCTGGGTCCGTATGTGATTTTATAGCCTATAGTCCGAGTCGATACACTGCTTCCCCCATTACAATAAAGACCCCCTAATGGATTGCAATCAATGGTTTTATTCTTGCATCGAAGAATGGGTTGCCAAGCTAATACGATTAACAAAAAGTGGTGTTCTGTCCCATGAATTCTTTCTTTAGGTGCCACTAATCTTTTATTTTGAATAATACATCATAGGATTGTGGACCCCGGGCTGTTTTTAGTGCATTCTTTGTTACACTTTAGGGACAAAAGTAAACTTGCTTCAAAACACTGTGGCATTCCTTCTACCCCCCCGCCCCCCCAGATGGAGACACGGAGCATGCTGATTTTATGGACAGCAGCACAAATGAAGAGGAAGAGGATGCAAAGTCAGATTGTGGCCTGCAAATGACAATAACTTCTCAGGTAATACGATTTTTGAGTGAAGGTTTTCATGTAATATTTACCAAATCTGATACTATCCCTTCACAAGGCAGCACCACCGACCCTGTGTGAGACACTCTCTTATCCCATCAGAAAGGGTATCACTGACCCTATAACTTATAGGAATCCCTGTGAGTGTGACGCTTTCTTATGCCATCAGATGGGACGTCACTGACCCTATAACTTATAGGAATCCCTGTGTGACAGATTTTCTTATTCCATCTGTGTCACTAAGCATGTTTAATTATATATAATTTAAACCTTTGTTCTTGTGCAGGAGAAACGTGAGCCTGAACACCATTCTACCCCCAGGGCTGAGAAGACCATAGTTTGTGGGTAGGTAGCACAATTTGCTCAAACTATGCAATATTATGGTATGTGTGGTGTGCTTTTTTTTTTGTTTGTTTAAATTTTTTTTTTTTTTTTTCGTTCACACTGAATTTCCATCTTACATTTCTGTCGCGTGTGGTTTGAACGGTGGCCACCGTCTGTGGCTTGGAGGGTGGGTAGTGCTGTGCTCTGAGTGAAACGGATTCACTGAGAGATCACACTCTATGGAAGTAGGCATTTTTGACACAAAAGGCATAGGCAGGAAAATCAAGGGAATGGGTGAAGGGTAATGATTCGGGATCTGAGAGGCCATGTGGCGCAGCGTGCGCAGTGCGTTTGTCCATGGCACAGCGTGCACGGTGTGTTTGTCCCTGGCGCAGTGCCTTTAGTTTTGGTGCAGATTACATAATCTCTGGTTTCTGTCCGTTCAGTGTACGGCGCTCTGGAGTTCTAGTGTTGTGACACAGCACTGTGTGGCAGCCAAGTGCATGTTCTCGCTGCCTTTTTAGTACTCCTTCCCCTCAGCTCCATTTTCAGAGCAGTCCACTAATGACCAACTCAGGACATCATTGTGCCCGGACAGTCACTGGAGGTGTAAGCCCTGATTTTAGTTTTTTTTTCTCTGAAAATGCAGCACTTACACTGCATACGAAATGTGTTAGGAGGCAGGCACGAGCTATAAATTGTGTGTGTGTGTGTGTGTGTGTGTGTGTACACACACAAAAAACTTTGCTTGACTATCTAGTAAACATTAACTACATATCGGTGCCATCTAGTGTCCAAACGCAAAACTGAAGCTCATACATTGTGTGTAAATGTATCTCTAAAGACGTCAAGGGAAAAAAAATGGCTGCACATAGTTACCAAGACTCCTCAACATGTTGGAGTAAATTTTGGTGTAAATGTTTCCAGTTGTGACCCCACTGAGAAAAATATGTCTCTGCATAATACTAAATGTCATAATGTCAACACACCCTTGTAGCTGTAATTCGTATAAATGTTTTCATAAGTATAGGAATTCAGCAGGTAAGAGATTAAGTGATGTATTTTTGAAAGAAGCAATGTACCTCGTGTTTCCCCTGCCTTTGCTGGAATAGACCTGGTCTCCTCCACAATCCTATACATAGGGCTGGCTGGGGGGAGCAAATACCTGCTCAACAATGCATTGTCTCTTCCATGCAGAGGCTGGCACTGGGGAGCACTCCCAATCCTCCTGCAGGGTGCAGGCTGTGCATGCAGCTCTAGTTTAGGGGAGGGCTGCCCTGCTAGGGAGAGTGCATGGGACAAGCCCAGGCTGTGTCCATGTTTACAGAGGGAGAGAGGGGGCAGGTAAGACAATATACTGGGCTAACAAGCTTTTGTGCTTTATTTGCTTCCATCACTTGTGAAGTTGGCCTTCACTACATGACATGCAAGTCAGGCCCAAGCTTTGCTCCACTTTCTCCCATGTTTCCTAAGTTGTGTACAAGACATGTAACACTTTAAAAGGGTTTTTAAATTAAACTAACATTCCAATCGGCACAACCACTTCAGCTCGCTAGTGTTTACAGTGCAAGGAATGTGCTGGAAATCTCCCTTCCTTTCAGTGTAAGTAGTCAATCCCCTTTAGAATGTTGCCGCCTTCTCCACGGCACAATCCCTTCCGATCTTCTATGGAGAGCCAGAAACTCTCTGAGCAAACAGACGCTCCTGCTTCGGCTCTCCGTAGGAGCTAGTGGAGGCTGATTTCAGGGAAGAAGTCAGAACATTCTTTAACACCTGTTGATCCCAGAGCAGTGATGCCCGTCGGATGTGCTATGTAACAAACAACTTCCGTTTGTGTCGATCAGAAAGTGGAACAGTTGCTTGTTACTGAGTTTTTGTGTTCAGTAACAAGCATTGGGAAAGCTCAGTGTAATTTGCAGAAATACATCATTCTTCTGACGAGTTTGTTCCAACTCAAAAATTTTAACTTGTTCACTTCTTGCTGCCCAAAAGAACCTTTTTTTTTTTTTTTTTTCTACTAGTTTACATGCTTCAAATGAACCCGTTACATTTCTTAGGATGGTAGTACATATTTTAAAACTCTATACCTGCCTCATAGGTTTGAGGTATAGCCATCTCAAAAAACACTCCTCTAATAAGTCATTAGTATTTATAAATACACTTTTTATTTATTTATTTGAAGATCAGCTCCATCACCTCTGTCTGTCAACAACCGGCCCGAATATCCAATAGAAGAGAGGCGTAGGCCTGAGACCCTCCTTATTTGGAGAGAGCGAGAGAGGCAGCAGCTCCAGCAGAAGCAGGAAAGTACACGGAGGCAGTCGGTGGACAAGAAGGACAGGTGAATACTGGATCGACTAAGGAGATGGGGCAAACAGAACAGTGTGGCAGGTGTAGATTTTACAATGTGTCCTTTAACTTTTGCAGCATGCAGAAAATTGTGATCCATCCTTCTACTAATCATCCACCAGTACACTGTGAATCCTCCAGGTAAGTGATTGGAGTGGGGTGGGACACCTTTCCCTAGGATCCCTTTAAAGAAGAAAGGTTTTTAATGACTTTCATAGTAAGAATTATGAATATAATTATGTTATGTGGGGTGATTTTATGGACAAGGTGCTACAGCTGGTGATGCAGAACAGTATTAATGGAGAAATGGTGGCGGGAGGTGGATTGAGGCTGGAGACTACCTGGTTACAAATGGTCGATTTTTAGACCATGGCTTCACTGTAAAGCGAGACTGAGATTTCTCTCAATGTTTTGGTTTCGACACCTGGAGTCCCCTTGCACTGAAAGTCCTTCATTGACTGTTAAACCATTTTCGAGCCATTTAACACTGAATGTGTCCCTGGTCTTGCCTCCATTGGTAGTGTGGCTAAGACTGAGACCTCCCCTTCCTTCTAGCCATACTAAATATACCAGCAGTGGGTGCTGTAATAGGCTGAAAGGGATCAGCTAACACTCAGACAATCACAGCTGCAGATTACTGCTCTGGTATTGCTTTCTCACTTGCCCAAGCTGCACAGATGGAATGGATTGCTGGGGGCATTCATTTAGCATTTAAACATTAAGAAAGGGTTTAACCGTGAATGAAAGGAGGGTACCTCAGACACCATAACCACTTTAGTGAAATGGTTGCTGTGTCTACAGTGCTCTTTTAATGTTGGGTTGTCTGACAAAGATTGGGGTTGAGTGACTGACTAGGTTTGAGAGCTGGAAAGTGTTAAGGGTCAGGGTAAATTGACCATTTGTGAGGGCCACAGAAGGGATTCTGAGGAAATGCCGTATGGAGGGTATATTTGTGAATTTGTATATTTTGTCATTGCAGCAGTTCGCCTAATGTCTGCTCCAAACAGTGGAATCAGGTAATCTTCTTAATGTAGAGCTTTATTCGGAGAGATAAGTGGAGATTAGTGTAAGATGCAGGCCACAGTTTATCTGAAGTAGTAAGGATGAGTTTGACAGGGCTGCTGGATGGGTTTGTGCATTTCAGATGTTGAAAGAAGATCTAAGGAAGGCTGTATTGTTTAGGCTACATAGAGGATGTATTGCCAGAGGAAACACAAATGATTTAATTCTCTGAACACGCATTGCACATGGTCAGCACAAGGCAATGGCTGAAATTACTATACAATAATCCTAAATGAGAAATGGATAGAAACTTGGCACTGTAGGCACTATAACTATTTTATCTCATAGACTTTGTTATAGTGCCTGAAGTCCTCTGGGAACTTTCATTCATTTTCAAGCCGTTTAAAACCAAATAAAGGTTCCTGGCCACCGATAGCCCCATTCATGTTGGAGGTGTTTCTAATTCACAGACAACACCCTATCTATAGATGCTGTGCTATTTTTTTTATTTTTTTATATAGTGCCAACCGATTCCGTAGCACGTTACAATATTACTAGACTGAAAGCAGTCAGCTGACACTCACCGCTTCCTTGGGTCTTTTGTTTAGCATTAAAAGATTAAATATGGTTTAATACTGAATGGAGAAATTGCTGCAGTAGACTCCACACACTATAACCACTTAATTGAGATCAAGCAGTTAGAGCTTACAGTGTCCCTTTAAAGAAGGAACATGTAAAATATTCCAAGCCTTTTGGTGATGCATAGTCAAGTGGTAAATATGTGGAACCATGTCCTGGAGCCTGTATTGTTGACTTTAGACCTCAATAAAATCTGGGTTTTTATTTCTGGTTATACCTTTTATGAGATCTTTCTGTAATTACTGTACTTTTGCAATTTGGAGAGTTAGCAATTTGTCTGTAATAAACTTTACAATATCTTACACGATTAACGGAGCTGAAATGGCAAATGTAATGTAAAGTTAAGCTGGATTGGAAATATTCTCCAGCGCAACCACTTTAGCCTAAAACTGACAACTCTAGTCTAGTGGCAAACCGTGAGGGATCAATGGGGTCACATGGTGCTTGGATGAAGAATGTTTTCCAATACCTCTTTGTGTTTTGTAGGGTTGCCAAAGCATATCATCAAACCCAACCTCACCCACCTCGTTGGCCACAGGTGCGTGGATCTCTAATTGTCTGGTGCTGATTTCTTGTAGGCCGAACTTTGTATTTATGCAGATTTTTATATTTTTCAGATCAGTCTGTCTGCCTCACACACAAACCCAATAGCTTTCTGTTTAGATCATATTCTCGTGGTGCTTTGCGGTCTGCACAAGGTAAGTGGAATACTCCGTCTCACTCAGAAGTTTCTGACCACATGTCATATACTACCTAGCCCTGCCCTACCTGCATCAACAGTATGTGCTTTACACTGCTTACCCCCTCCCAATCCCACAACAATGTCTGCTGTGCCTGTTCCTTACACTGCTTACCCCTTTCCCTAACCTTGTCTGCACTGCACTGCCTGCCCCAACAGTCTGTGCCTCACACTGCTTACCTTCTCCCACTTCCCCAACAGTGTCTGCATTGCGCTCCCTGCCTCTATACACTCTTTTCCCCTCCCTCCTTTTATCTGTACCTTGTTGAAACATTGCACATAATACTTTGCACTTCCCTGTACGTTCGTTAATATATACCTACAAACTGTTACATGGATTTGGATTGGGATATACTAATACTAATTGTTACAGGCTCCGAGCAGAGCACTGCTGGCAGTTCCAGCCCTGTACGATTAAGAGTGTCCCGACCACCACCCGATGAAAAGTCGTTGTTAGATCAGCTCCGTAAGGTATTGGCAGCATCACCGTCTTGTAGTATCTCTCCTCTATCATCTCTGACGCTATCTCGATCACCCCCTCTCATACTCTCATTTCATGCATTTCATTCAATTATTATTTATTTTTAATTTTTCTCCTATCTGGTCTTTGTTCTACACACACCTTTTCCCTTGTATGCTTTAGATTCCTCCTCTTGCCTCTGTAATGTTCTTTGGTGACTGTCCTCCCTTCCATGCATTTTATAAAACATTTTTTACCTTCGTGTTATTTATTATCCTTTATGCTTTCCTCTTACCTTTCTGTTTCATTTGCAGATTGTCTTTTATCTGTCATACTTTCCACATGACACCCCCCCCTATTCAGTCAGCTCTGCCTCTCATATTGTCTTCTGTATCTTTCCCTACCTAGGACATAGAGACTCATCTTAATACCACACTTCAGGAACCCCTGTGTGAGAGTCTATCCAACGGAGTGATTCTCTGTCAGCTTCTGAACCACCTACGCCCACGGACCATTGCATCAATTCATGTGCCCTCCCCTGCCGTGGTAAGAATTGATACTGTTCGAGTAGAAGGGGATAAGCTGTAAGATCCAAGACAGAGATTTGGTATATGTTAAATAATACCTTTTCCACTCCCCCCTAGCCCAAGCTGAACGCAGTGAAAAGCCGCCGGAACGTAGACAGTTTCCTGGATGCATGCCGCCGGCTTGGCATTCCTGAGGTAACATTTTCCTTGTATATAGTCCCTTCTTTACAAATAGGGATTAATGGTTAACAAGGGTGTGAATGGATCACAGAATGTTCCTCTTGCGATACCACTTACCTTTCTAGATCACTGAATGTTTCTTCTTCTTTTCTTATCTCACCTCTTTGTGCATGCCCTCAGTTAGCCATTGGTAGTAATAGAGATCCCACCCGCATGCATCCTGTGTGACTCCTGTGTGTATTTTGCATGTGGGAAAGGGGCAGTAATTGTATATAGGGGACATTTAGACTTTTGTGTGTATTTAATATTTGCTCTTGTTTTGTGCGAGCGCTTTAATGTTTTAACATGTTTGTTTTCTTGCTTTTCTCCCTCCCTCACTTTTTTTTTCTTTTCCTCCTCATCTGTTTTGCTTCGCTAACACTCCATTCTACTGTCTATATTCATCTCCACCACCCTTCTATATTATTATTGTGTTTTTTTTTTTGTTTTTTTTTATTCATTGCTTCCCTGGTGCATAATTTGCACCTCTGTCTATGCCTCCATCTAATTTTATCACAATATCATGTATTTTCTTTAAACTCTTCTTTCTTGTATTGTTTTTTTTTTTTGCATGTTTCTATCCATCTCCTACTCTGGTTCCCCATACCCCCTGCTGTCTACCTGTGTCCCTCATTGTCTCATGCAGCAAGATCTGTGCTTGGCCTCCGACCTCCTTGGAGGTGAGCACTCCCTCAACGTGTACAGGACAGTCTCCTCTCTCCTGCGACTGACTTCGGGAGAAGCTGCCCTCGCCTCTCCAGCCTTTGACCAAGGGGCATCTCCCTGTCCACCACAACCCTCTCCTCTCTCCAACTATGGCGGCTTCCTGCTCTTCTACGCTCTGCTCATGCTGATACTGTATGCAGCCTACAGCAAGCTGTATGTGTTTTAGGCCACCATGGTGTGGGGGACATGTATGCAGTCATTGGAACCAGTAATTTCTACCTGCCTTGCATCCACACAAAATGGCTGCCAACTCTGAAAATTTAAAATGTGCCTTTATCATGAGGCTGCTGTAAAAGTCTCAGGTCTTGCTGGCCAATAATTCCGGTTCAGATCTCTATAATATCCTAAAATGTAGATGGTTGAGCCACTGGAGTATGCTAATGGCTGCTCCCTTGCTCAGCTACCTCATTGTTAAACAGGCTCCTTTTTGCTTATCTTGCAAGTGAAATTCTTACTTGATCAAAGACGCTGCTCGTAACACAGCTTCATCTCCACAGAGTGTTAATATCCTGCAGTGTACGTTGGTTCTTCCACCTTTGTATATAGTTTTTCTGCGTTTCTGATTAGTTTGCTGGCATATCAGTACAAATTATCTGCTTTTAGAGTGTTCTCCTGAACATGACAGGATGTCCAGCAAGACTACCGATGATATATTGTTCCAGTGGTCCAAAGATGACCTTCCACTAGCTATACTTTGTATGACCAAGTTGCCTGTTGTATGACATTTTCTTGGTGCCTTCTTCTCATGCCTTTGATTCAGTGTGACTTTATTACTTGGACAAGCCCAAGCCATTGGAAAAGCAAATGGAGCGTGGGGCCTTCTGTGCCACAAACCAAAGACTTTTAGTGCTAAGTCATATTTTCCAAAAACAAGCTGCCTTGTGCCAGCCTGCTCTTCTATCGACAGCCTACTCAGACTGACTGGTACTCACTGGACAGAAATATCAGTTTCATTGGAAACTGTTACCTAGTCCATGTAACATTCAAATTGAATCCCTTGAGTCCATGTCCTGCTAGCTGAATATGGTCATGGACTGAATCCTTAATAAGGCTGGATGACAATGTCCTTTAGTACATTTGCATGTTTTGTCCTTGAATTGTCAATTCACATGTTTCCACATCTTTCAATATGTACCTGTTTAGAGTTCCTGGCATACGGAGATAGTTTGCTACCAGGGCTCTACCCGCACAATTTCATACCTCCCTCATTGTAGGGAAGTAAGATTGTGCCCTGGACGTGCCTGGATCAGTATGTCATTTGCGAAATCTTTAAAGGAGCATTATAGTGCCAGGACAACAAACCAGTTTTTCTGGCACTATAAGTTCATTAGGTGTCCCACCACCCTCAGGGTACCCCTTCCGCTGGGGTTAAAACCCCTTCAGCCACTTGCCTTTCTCCAGCGCCGGGCTCCCTCTGTGCTAGGGAACTCTCCACCCCCTGCCGACATCAGATCCAATCCAATGCTTTCTTATGGACGTCCAGCGTCTTTTCACTGTGAATTTTTTTTTCTTTTTCTTCACCATGAGGATTGCTTCTAGTGGCTGTCGGTGTGACAGCCACTAGAGGCTGGATTAACCCTCAGTGTAAACATAGCAGCAGTTTCTCTGAAACTATGTTTTCAGCTGCAGGATTAAAACTAGAGGGACCTGGCACACAGACCACTTCATTGAGCTGAAGTGGTCTGGGTGCCTATAGTGGTCCTTTTAATATACATTTTAAAATAAACTGGAGCATGACATAAAAAAGGTTAATACAAGTTAGTTTTATTCAATCTTGTAATTTCGAGAGAAGTAACCCTTCCATTTAAGAACGAAGTTCCACAGTTGAACAGCATAACTTGTGTGATGCCATCGGTGAGCATTGCGTAAACCGGTTCGTTGTAATGCCTTTTGTAGTAAGTATGAATAGGATCTGTAAAAGGTGAAACTGCTGAAATATGTGGAAAAATGGCAGTCATCTAAAATGTATAGCACTCTTCGTTTTAGAGGGGATAAACCCTCTCGTACAGTCTACAGTAATGTGACTAGCATTGCAATGTAGCACAATGGTTTATGCAAAACATTTACTTCCTGTTTCCTGTTATGTCACAGGAAGTGGTTAATGGAAATATTCAGCGTAAAGTGCCTGTATGGCTGCAGCCATTGTGGAATGGCTGAAGCCAGAGTGACTGAAGGTTATTCTCCAAGCAGTAAATTGCAAGCTTCCAGTTAAACTAGCCAAGCTGTGATTATATCATTGTTAAATGACCGAACAAACCCTTGTGAGTTAGCCAGATGTCAGGACTTCTCTAACTGTATCGTTATGTGAGAAGACCCCATTTTTATCCTAAAATCCGCTGTTGGGGGTCACATGTTACTGGAACAGTGGCCTATGCCTTAAAATATAAATGTATCTGCAACGGTTCAAATATATAGGAAGAAGTACTTAATTCGCACTGAGCACCTCCCTGTGCCTGACCAGATCTGTGTATACAGGCAAATGAACATATATATTTGTGTGTGTGTGTAAATATATTTCAAGAATAGAACACTACGTGTCTGCAAAAACCCACACTATATATAGAGTATATAGACACTGACTTTAAACATTCGCATCTGTAATTTAGCCAATTTATTTTTTATTTATGATGACATTTTTGTTGTAAAGTATTTTTGAATGACTGCATTCTAAGCTTATCATAGGTTATATGGCCTTATTTATTAAGGTGTGGTTTTATAGAAATAAGTATATGCATCCCATATGCACCAAAGGCTTTTATAACATGTAAATTGACATTTTATTAGAAATCGTGTTACTTTGTATCTAGAAACCCTTTTATTACACGTACCAGATAATAATAAATTGAAAAGAAAATGTAGAAATTCCTATTCCACTGTTTTTTAGAATAGGATTTTTTTTTTTTTTTTTTTGAAATGTTTATTACCTTTTGTATTTATTACAAATATTCTTAAAATGTGACTAAACTATTTTGGCACAGTTCACAATTCACATCTAAATGAATTAAGGCGTTTGTTTTATTTTTTTTGTGATTTCACTGTTAGATTTGTTTTTGTTTTTTCTACGAAGTTGACCAGTCACCCACACACCTTGTAGCATCCAATGAAATGTGTTTAATAAAACACTGCTGCTTAATGCTTATGTTTTGTCTGTTTAATCTGTGTAACGGATAATTATCTTACGTGTTAATTAGTGCTTCTCTCAGCACAGCTAACCTCCGGATCAGGTAAGAGCCTGTTGCCAGGTCAGACAGGTAAAACGAGAGTATGAAGTTAATTGTAAGGCCTATTCAGGCAGCTAATCGTCATGTTGTGTACTTGCTCTCTCTTTTCTACATTGTAGGTGAAGCACATTTTATAGTAAGCACTTACTGGGGCAGATTAAAAGGAGACAAATTAGTGGTTCTCATAAAACAGGGAGACGAGAAGACAAAGTGTCCAGAGTGGTCATTTATAGGAAATTTGATGTCTTGAGCTCAAGACAGTTGGCTTCAGTTCATAGAGGCAGCCATCTTTAGATCACAAAAAAGAAAATCCTTCCAGTCCTTACAAATGTTCAAATAGCCTTTGAGCGAACAGCCGCACGAACCAGAGACCACCCTGGAGCTTTTTAAGTCTAATTGCTATTTTGTAGCAATTTCCACCACAGAGTTCTAAGTGTTTGTCTGGGTGGCCGCAGTTCCTACCAGGTGGCGGCCATCTTGTTCGCACGAACGCATGAATCTCATGGAACTGAAAACAGACACAGAATCTCCCGAACACTGCTGGACTTCCAGCATCGCCTGCATTCGGTTCCACTTAGAAAAGTGCTGTTCGGTGGAAATGTTCCCATGAACAAGGAGATAAAGCTCCAGGGTAAAACTATTGACTATGTTTGGCAGATTGATTAATTGTTTTTAAACTACCGAACTAGACTGAGCATTAAGACTTCCAGGACAATCCTAAACCCCTGAACTGATCTGGGTGATTTTTGGATATATTGGTCACTCAAATCAGGGCTATCAGGGGATGTAACCATTGTGGGGTTTTTATGTATTTTTAGGGTACTTTTGGGGTGTTTAGGTAAAAAAAAATTCTGTGCTTGGTGATAATTGGATTAGATTAGTACGGTTCCTGATCCAATTATCTCCCAGGCACAGAGAAGGGATTATCTGACTTTGTATAAAAGTATCTTGGACCTGAGAGTCAATGTGATTGTGTATTTATTTCTATTGTGGTTTACTCTCGGGTCCAGAGGGGAGTGCCCCTTGCATGGGGACTCATCAAAAGCCAGTTGTGGCTACCATTAAACTGGAATTCGTTTTACCCTTCATGAAGTCTAGGCTCCTGTTTGGGGGATTAGAGACTTATATACGCACTCTGTGTATTGCTATCAATATACTCCCCTAGATCACAACACTTGATCTTATAAGAGCAGCCTGCTTTGCTCTCTGGACTAGGAGAGGTATACCCACTGGAAGCTGGATCTTGGTCTTGGGTCCAGGGTGGGTGGAGGAAAGAGAGACCCCAACCAAGCTGCGGCGGTTATGGTGCAGTGCTTATGGTCAGTGATGTATTTAGTATCTGTGCTGCCCTAGGCATGACGGATCTTGGGCACCCCCTAATGTACATTTGCCTCACCCCTTCCTGTCAATACCACACCTCTCACTGTTAAACGACTAACACACATTTTGACTGACACACACACACACACACACTGATTTGACCCAATCACTGACTCACTGACATACACAATGATGCAGACACACATTCACTGACAGAGACACACAGGTGCCCTCACTGACACAATCACTCAGAAACACACATTCACTGACAGACAGCCACACAGTGACACATACACACAATCACTTGGATACACACTTACAGCCAAACACACACAATTACTCAGACACACACTGACAGCCAGACACGCCCTTCCTCCCCCAACATTAATTAATAAAGATTACTTTTCCTATTTTAGTTTAAATCCACCCAGCCTCTCTACCTGGAAGAGCTGGGTGGATTTAAAAAAAAAATAAAAAAAATTTTAACCTGGGGACCAGTGGGTCTTCTTGCAGAGAGGGAGGCAGGCACTTGGGCAGCTAATTGTAAACAAGGCATTTGCCTTGGGCGGCACTTTCCAGGGGGAGGCAAAAAACGCCGCCCCAAATTCCCAGGCAAATACCTTGTAAGCCTGACGGCATTCAGCTAACAAAAAATACAGGTGGGCAGGCGGCACCGGCGAGTCAGCACTGATTTGTGAGCGGTCTCTGCTCAGCTCCCTCGCGCGCTGCAGAGTGATGCCGGGAGCTGGAATATGACATCTTTAAACTTAACCAGCTCCCACTGCTGCCACACTACTTGTATAGGAAAGCCAGAGCTTATACCATTAGACGTGTAATGGATGGATGTGGGTACTTTGCAGGAGGTATCAACCTATCTTCTTTACTATACTCAGTTACAGTGAAATTGAGGCTAAAACCACAAAGCTGTACCAATAGCTGGGTTGGGAAAGGTTTCCAGATCAGCCTTGATGTGGCACCACCTGTCCTACTGGCCCAGTTGGGTGCATTTCAAATGGGTATCTGATAGGAAAAATTTTAACTTTAAAAGTGACCCTGCGGGCTTCACTTTCTGCTCTCATTAATGTAAAATACACTAAACCAAGCATGCCAAACTCAAAGGCTAGCACGGGCCACATAAGGTTTAAGTTTATGTGGGCCTCAAAAAAAACAAACAAAAACCTTTTTAAATTTTCAGAAATGTAGGTTTGTTTTAAAAAGTACAGTATAAATTCACAGCACCCCCCTCTGTACTGAATCCCAGCACCCCCTCTAGTAAACCCCAGCCCTTGTTTAGGAAAAAACAATATTAGCCAACAAGCAGACTCCACTCACATTGCTGCTGCCAGTATGCGACGCCGGAGTCCAGCCTCTGGTATACCGCCAATGGCGCCGTCCATATCCTGTCAAACGGATGCCCCTTTTACTTGAAAACCTGTGAAGGTGGAGCACGTTAACGTCACGTCAGAATGTGGCGTTGCTTGCCCTGCCAGGTTCTCCACTGTCCAACCGCGGCCATCGCAACAGACACACACACTGACAGTCTCTCACACACACACACACACATACATCATTGTATTCATTGCTCCCTACCTTTGGGAGCTCTCCCTGATCTTATCTTGGGAGATCAGACTTTTTGCTCCCGCGCGTCGTCTGAAGTGATGCCGGATGCCGGAATATGACGTCATATTCCGGCGCCCAACTTCACTTCAGCTGGCGCGCGAGGGAGCAGTGAGGAGCAAGAAAATTGAGCTCCCTCGTTGCCGCCAGGACCCCTCCCGGCCGGGTAAATGAGCAGGGTAGGCACCTGCAATGTGGGGAGAGCAGGTGCCTACTCTACTAATCATGTCAAGTTCGCGGGCAGCAAAAATATTCATTGTGGGCCGCGAGTTTGACATGCTTTCACTAAACCCTGGGAAATTTCTGGATGCCAGTTACTCAGCAGCAACTAGAAAAAAAAACAAGCTGTGGGAGTAGCTCTGACAATCCATGCAGATATTACTAGACACTACTTTCTCATCACTGTTGTCAGAACAAATACAGCTTATTGTATTTGTTCTGGTGAGTAGAATCATTACCTTCAGGCTTTTTGCTGTAAACACTGTTTTCAGAGAAAATGCATTGTTTTCATTACAGCCTAGGGATACCTCCATTGGCCACTCCACAGTTGGGTGCTAGAGGTGCTTCTTGGGACAGTGCTGCACAGTGTGACTGACATTCAGTGTCTCCACCCTTTGCATGGAGACACTGACCTATCCTCATAGAGATGCATTGATTCAATGCATCTCTCTGAGGAGATATTGATTTGGCCGGTGAGAGAGCTCAGTGGCCAAATGCATCATCAGCAAAATCTGTTCAACCCTAGGTCGCAGGTTCAAATCCTGGCAGGGTTGACTCAGCCCTTCATCCTTCTGAGGTAGACGCAATGAGTACCATTAAATTGGGTAATTGTAACATCTCCTGGATGTACTTGGAAACCAGAGTAATTTAAATGTACCCTTCCTGCTAGAATACTTTGTTATGGAAGTGCTCATGCCGTTGTACATAACACTTACCATGTACAGGGAGTGCAGAATTATTAGGCAAGTTGTATTTTTGAGGATTAATTTTATTATTGAACAACAACCATGTTCTCAATGAACCCAAAAAACTCATTAATATCAAAGCTGAATATTTTTGGAAGTAGTTTTTAGTTTGTTTTTAGTTATAGCTATGTTAGGGGGATATCTGTGTGTGCAGGTGACTATTACTGTGCATAATTATTAGGCAACTTAACAAAAAACAAATCTATACCCATTTCAATTATTTATTATTACCAGTGAAACCAATAAAACATCTCAACATTCACAAATATACATTTCTGACATTCAAAAACAAAACAAAAACAAATCAGTGACCAATATAGCCACCTTTCTTTGCAAGGACACTCAAAAGCCTGCCATCCATGGATTCTGTCAGTGTTTTGATCTGTTCACCATCAACATTGCGTGCAGCAGCAACCACAGCCTCCCAGACACTGTTCAGAGAGGTGTACTGTTTTCCCTCCTTGTAAATCTCACATTTGATGATGGACCACAGGTTCTCAATGGGGTTCAGATCAGGTGAACAAGGAGGCCATGTCATTAGATTTTCTTCTTTTATACCCTTTCTTGCCAGCCACGCTGTGGAGTACTTGGACGCGTGTGATGGAGCATTGTCCTGCATGAAAATCATGTTTTTCTTGAAGGATGCAGACTTCTTCCTGTACCACTGCTTGAAGAAGGTGTCTTCCAGGAACTGGCAGTAGGACTGGGAGTTGAGCTTGACTCCATCCTCAACCCGAAAAGGCCCCACAAGCTCATCTTTGATGATACCAGCCCAAACCAGTACTCCACCTCCACCTTGCTGGCGTCTGAGTCGGACTGGAGCTCTCTGCCCTTTACCAATCCAGCCACGGGCCCATCCATCTGGCCCATCAAGACTCACTCTCATTTCATCAGTCCATAAAACCTTAGAAAAATCAGTCTTGAGATATTTCTTGGCCCAGTCTTGACGTTTCAGCTTGTGTGTCTTGTTCAGTGGTGGTCGTCTTTCAGCCTTTCTTACCTTGGCCATGTCTCTGAGTATTGCACACCTTGTGCTTTTGGGCACTCCAGTGATGTTGCAGCTCTGAAATATGGCCAAACTGGTGGCAAGTGGCATCGTGGCAGCTGCACGCTTGACTTTTCTCAGTTCATGGGCAGTTATTTTGCGCCTTGGTTTTTCCACACGCTTCTTGCGACCCTGTTGACTATTTTGAATGAAACGCTTGATTGTTCGATGATCACGCTTCAGAAGCTTTGCAATTTTAAGAGTGCTGCATCCCTCTGCAAGATATCTCACTATTTTTGACTTTTCTGAGCCTGTCAAGTCCTTCTTTTGACCCATTTTGCCAAAGGAAAGGAAGTTGCCTAATAATTATGCACACCTGATATAGGGTGTTGATGTCATTAGACCACACCCCTTCTCATTACAGAGATGCACATCACCTAATATGCTTAATTGGTAGTAGTCTTTTGAGCCTATACAGCTTGGAGTAAGACAACATGCATAAAGAGGATGATGTGGTCAAAATACTCATTTGCCTAATAATTCTGCACTCCCTGTATAGCTTGGAGGAAAGACTTACTTCAGTAGTGGGGAAAGTGATGGAAATCATGTTAAAGGATAGGATTGATGAACATCTAAAAACACATGGATTTCAAGATCAGAGACAACATGGGTTTACTTCAGGGAGATCATGCCAAACTAATCTTATTGATTTTTTTGATTGGGTAACTAAAATTATAGATCAGGGTGGTGCAGTAGACATTGCTTACCTAGATTTCAGTAAGGCTTTTGACACTGTTGCACATAGAAGGCTTATCAATAAACTGCAATCTTTAAGTTTGGATTCCAATATTGTTGAATGGGTAAGGCAGTGGCTGAGTGACAGGCAACAGAGGGTTTGTAGTTAATGGAATATATTCGAAGCTTGGACTTGTCACCAGTGGGGTGCCTCAGGGATCTGTACTTGGACCCATTCTCTTTAATATTTTTATTAGTGATATTGCAGAAGTCTGATGGTAAGGTATGTCTTTACTGAGTATTCTAAGATATGTAACAGTTTGATGTTCCCAGGAGGGATAAGCAAACAAATGATTTAGATGACTACTGATACTTGATTCAGAATTGTTTCAATGACATTTAATGTGGATAAGTGCACAAGATAATGCATCTTGGGCCATTTAAAAGCAAGAACTTGAGTACAGAATATTTGATAGATTCTATTCAGCACATGGGAAAGGTTTGGGGGTGATTATTTCCCATTGAGCTTAAAGGTAGGCAGACAATGTAATAGAGCAGCAGGAAATGCTAGCAGAATGCTTGGTTGTGTAGGGAGAGGTATTAGCAGTAGAAAGAGGGAAGTACTCATGCCATTATACAGAACACTGGTGAGACCTCACTTGGAGTATTGTACACAGTACTGGAGACCGTATCTTCAGAAGAATATTGATACCTTAGAGAGGGTTCAGAGAAGGGCTACTAAACTGGTTCATGGATTGCGGGATAAAACTTACCAGGAAAGGTTAAGGGATCTTAACATGTATAGCTTGGAGGAAAGACGAGACAGGGGGGATATGATAGAAACATTTAAATACATAAAGGGAATCAACACAGTAAAGGAGGAGACTATATATTTAAAAGAAGAAAAACTACCACAACAAGAGGACATAGTCTTAAATTAGAGGGACAAAGGTTTAAAAATAATATCAGGAAGTATTACTTTACTGAGAGGGTAGTGGATACATGGAATAACCTTCCAGCTGAAGTGGTAGAGGTTAACACAGTAAAGGAGTTTAAGCATGCGTGGGATAGGCATAAGGCTATCCTAACTATAAGATAAGGCTAGGGACTAATGAAAGTATTTAGAAAATTGGGCAGACTAGATGGGCCGAATGGTTCTTATCTGCCGTCACATTCTATGTTTCTAAGACAAGACAGGAGGGATAGGATAGAAACATTTAAAGGGAATCAACTATATTTAAAAGAAGAAAAACTACCACAACAAAGGGAACATAAATTAAATTAGAGGGGCAAAGGTTTAAAAATTATTACTTTACAGAGAGGGTAGTGGATGCATGAAATAGCCTTAACACGGTGAGATAGTTTAAGCATTCATGGCATAGGCATAAGGCTATCCTAGCCTTAATATAAGGCCAGGGACTAATGAAAGTATTTAGAAAATTGGGCAGAATAGATGGGCTGAACGGTTCTTATCTGCTGTGTTTGGCTTGTGCTGGCTCTGCCTCTGATTGGTCTTCTTGAACGTCTCCATCAATCCAATGCTTTCCTATGAGAAAACATTGTGATTGGCTCAGAACAACCCTTCTGATAATGTCAGTCAAGCAGGCAGATCAGATGCAGAGCCAGCAGCAGAAGACTGGAGTAAAGGTATGGTTATACAATATTTAGGGAGTGCAGAGGGGCATAGATGGTGTTTTTAACACTATAGTGATACTTTAACCCCTTAACGCTGTTACAGCGTTCTATGCCGTCCCCATTTAAATGGGCTTTAAAGCCGTTGTGGCAGCATAGAACGCTGTAACGGCTGCAGCCCCCAGAGCGTCCGGGATACTCACCTAACCGCGATGCTCTTCGGGAGCACTGCCTGACAGCCCAGGCAGCCCTCCCACGGCAAAAGAAGCCCCCGGGGGCCATGTGATCGCTCTCAAAGAGCAATCACATGGCCCCCTATAGCTAGCTGTGGATCTGCCACCAGGGTGATTCACAGCTAAAATGTCAGACGGAAATATAAATTTAAACAAAATCTTATTTTCTCAAATTCTTTTACATTTTATTAATAATAAATTATGTTCCATATATGAATAGTTAATGATAAATTAAAGCCCTGTTTCTCCTGAACAAAATGATATATAAGAAGTGTGGGTGCACTTAATGTGACAGTGGGGAATTACGGTGCAAATTCCAGTTTGTTTTGTTTTGATCAGAACGTAAACTATTGACTCCGTCCTGAAGAGGTTAAGTATGAAAGCTGTTGATCAACTCTCAGCTTAGATGTGTGTGTGTGACGAGTATTGATTGACGGTGGGGGGCAGGAGAACCTTCCTAATGGCAGTTTTCCTGTTCGGTCACTGTGTGTGCTGGTGGAAGATGTGAATGGAGGGACAGTGTGAAGATGGCAGGTTTGTGTTGAAGCCAGCATATTTTCATAATTGGGAAGGATTAGCCTGTACCAACAAGCAGATTATGTTTTCTAATACTATATTGCCAGATGGTGACCTCATCTGTGCAGGTTTTTTTATTGTATGATACACTGGAACAATACACGGATTACCTCCGTAGTTTGGGTACTCCGTCTTGACATACATGTCATTGTCTGCTTAAAATTAGTGGTTGATGCACGTCAGCTGCCATTTTAATTTGTCGTGTTTACAAACCAAAACAAATTCCCTCTAGTATCAGACAGCAGTGGACAATGTGTGTTTAAAAACTCTCCTTAATACCTACACTACAACCAATACTAACTTCAACCCTAGCTCACAAACCTAAAATATACAAACACACAGCATAGTGCACATTATGGAAAATAATGCTATCTTTTGGAGATATTTTATAAACGGTCACATTTGGTCTTAACCTACAATGTGACCATCTTAAGACATCTTGGTTTTAATGTATATTGTGTGCAATTTAAAAATAAAAGTTTGTTTCAGACATTGCAGCTTGGGAGTGTGACTCCCAATAATCTCAGACTGGGATGTGTATGTCCTGGTTCTGCTAAAGATGGCTTTAAAACCGTTAAACTTTCCAGCCTACAAAAAGTAAAATAAATTGAACCCACTGTGCAATGATTATTCTAAGTGAAACTGGTTTAACTCCTTCCCTACTGCATTCCTTTAGTTCGAAAAACAAAAATGCATTTATTTGAAATATTGCGACCAAAAAAAAAAAAACTATGTAAAGTTACACAATTTCAGGGTTATTAATAAGTTTCTCCCCACACATTAAAGGAACACTTTGCTTTAGTGTTGGGAATACAAAGATATATTCCTAATGTGTTTCACTGCCCACGCGACTTCCCCACGATGTAAAGGGTTGAATAACCCTTTATTAATTTACCCAATTCCAGAGCCAAAGTCCTTTTTAAGTGGAGTTGTGCCTCCACTAGGTGGACCTATTGACCATGTGTGCGAGCATTAGACTTTACCCATAGGAAAGCATTGCTCCAATGCCTTCCTACAGGGTTTTCTCAGATACTGAATGTCCTCACGCAGAGCATTAGGACGTCCAGCGTTGTTTCACAGAGTCAAACTCCATGATACTACAGGAAGTGCCTCTAGAGGCAGTCTTAGTACTGCAAATAAACATTGCAGTTTCTCTAAAATTGAAATGACTTACATTGCAGGACGAAGGGGGATAAGGACACTGCACCCAAACCGTTTCAGTGAGATGAAGTGATCTGGGTGCCTATAGTGTCCCTTGTAAAGTATGAATGGCAAAACTAAGGTTAAATAGTCAAGCTGTGACTGGCTCAGAGAATTTTTACAGATCAGATTTTTCTTTTTTTCCCCATTTGGACTTATTTTGCAAACGGTTTGCATTTTGTGAATAAAAACTGTTAGTGTTTCATCCTTTGCCGAAATATTGCGGTATAATATCTTATATCTTTTACATTGTAGGTTGTTAGGGAGCTGAAGCAGTCATTCCATTTTCTCTTATTTAAATTCCTTACATTTTGGTTAGTTAAAAGGAAGCTGCTGGAATTTTTGGGAAGCTGTATCAGGATGTAGAAATGTCAGACTGTGGGTGTGATGTCCACATGCAGGGCCGGACTGGGGAAAAAATTAGGCCCGGGCATTTTTCAATCAGAGAGGCCCCCTAAGAAGGGGGCGGGGCCAGAAAGTGTGTGTTTTGTCAGCACTAATGACAACATGTCCCCTCTCAAAGTGAGCATGTTGGTTCAATTCCCAGAGCCCTGCTAAAGAGCTCTGGCACTAGAAAAAGGCCCTGAATTTATTCTGTGCAGCGCAAGCAAATTTAATAACATGCTTGCGCTGTGTTTGCTTTTAAATTGTCTCTGGTGTCTCCACAAGTGGGATACCAGAGGACAAAAGGGCCAGGAAAGTGCATGGTGCATATGTTTGGAGCCTGCTTGTGGGATTGTGTGTGTGTATTGTGGTATTGTATAAATAGGTCAATTTAATTTGTGTTTGTGGTGTAATATGTGTGGCTAGGGGCTGTAGAGAGTGTGGGATACAGCGAGAGAGTGCATACGGGCTGAAGTGTATGTGTATAGGTGACGTAGTGTGTGTAGGGGTTGCAGAGAGGGTGTGTTTAGAGAATGTTGTATGTGTTTGCTGACAAGGAATGTAGTGTGTGTGTGTGTAGGAGATCTACTGTGTAAAGGACCCTGTGTGTGTGTGTGTGTGTGTAGAGGATTAAGAGTGCATATAGGGTAAGGGATCTAGTGTGTATCTGGAGCGTAATGTGTGTAGTGGTGCAGTGTGAGGGGTGCTGTAGTGTGTGTGTGTGTGTGTGTATGTATATATATATATATATATATATATATATATAATATATTTGGACTTATTTTATGTGTGAGGGGCGCAGTGTGTGTATGTAAGAGGGGTGCTGTGTGTGAGGGTGTTTTTATCTGCTGTCACATTCTAGGTTTCTAATTTTCTTTGTCTGTTAACTCACTGAGGGTTATTTTATATATATATATATATATATATATATGTGTGTGGTGTATATGTGTGGGAGTATGCTGTGTGTGTCTGGGGGTGCAGTGTGAGTGAGGGTGCTGTGTGTGTCTGGGGGTGCAGTGTGAGTTTGGGTGCTGTGTCTGGGGGTGCTGTGTGTGTGTCTGGGTGCGCTGTGTGTCTCTGGGGGCGGTGTGTGTGAGTGTGAATGTATTTTTTATTTAAATTTAAATATTTATTTTATTAATAAAAAAATATATATATATATCCTCACTTCAGGGTGCTGTGTGTGTCTGTCTGGGTGCTGTGTCTGGGGGTGCTGTGTGTGTCTGGGTGCACTGTGTGTGTTCCGGGGTGCACCGTGTGTGTGTCTGAGGGTGCTGTGTGTGCCTGGGTGCTGTGTGTGTCTGAGGGTGCTGTGTGTGTCTGGGTGCTGTGTGTGTCTGAGGGTGCTTTGTGTGTCTGGGTGCTGTTTGTGTCTGGGGGTGCTGTGTGTGTCTGGGGGTGCTGTGTGTGTCTGGGTGCTGTGTGTGTCTGGGTGCTGTGTATAGGGGTGCTGTGTGTGTCTGGGGGTGCTGTGTGTGTGAGAGTGTGAATGTATTTTTTATTTAAATTTAAATATTTATTTTATTAATAAAAAATATATATATATATTATCCCCAGGGGTGCTGTGTGTGTCTGGGGGGTGCTGTGTGTGTCTGGGGGTGCTGTGTGTGTCTGGGTGCTGTGTCTGGGTGCTGTGTGTGTCTGGGTGCTGTGTATAGGGGTGCTGTGTGTGTCTGGGGGTGCTGTGTGTGTGAGAGTGTGAATGTATTTTTTATTTAAATATTTATTTTAATAATAAAAAATATATATTTCCCCACCCCCTCCCTTCTTACCTTTATCCTGGGAGGGGGGGGGAAGAGATCCGTTTTGCCGGGGGAGCCATGCTGCCTTCCCTGGTGGTCCAGTGGTGAGAGTGAACTCTAACCTGCAGGTTAGAGTTCACTCTCGCGAGATCTGAGCGTTGCCGCGGTAACCGCGGCAACGCTCAGAATCCCGCGAGAGGACCCGGCGGAGCTGCTTGTTAGAGCTCCGCCGGTCCTCTCCTCCCTGCCTCCCTCCCTCCCCAGCCTGCTTGTTAGAGCTCCGCCGGTCCTCTCCTCCCTGCCTCCCTCCCTCTCCCAGCCGGCGGCCGCATCTCCCTGTCTGTGGGCCGGTGAGGGAGATCTTTGATCTCCCCCACCGGCCCACGGAGACACATAGCAGGGCCGGCGCTCGGATAGTGCTGGCCCTGCAGAGGCCGGCCGGGGAGATCCCCTGCCGGCCTCGGCCCCACGGCCATCGCGGCCCACCGGGCATTTGCCCAGTATGCCCGATGGCCAGTCCGGGCCTGTCCACATGCATTAAGGACAGATAACTGATTCCCGATATGTATTCTTACAACAAGCTATGCCACGCGTCTAGAGTACTTCCTGGCTGCTAGCAGTGCATCATCGTACTATAAGCCATAAGGCAACGTTTACAGTTCCTGTTACTTATCTTCTGTCTGTATTACTGTGTTCTCCCTCCATATGATCCTAGTGTGATAGTTGGTTTAATGATTGATTTCTGGCTTGCAGATTGGTTAAATAAAACTCATGGGGGTATTTTACTGTCAGTCATACACACTTACCCATCTTATATGTCTTCCTTTGCTCCACCTTATTATCCTTTCTCACATGGCTATCTTTCGTTACCAAGTAAATCTGTCCTTCCTCTGCTTCTATTTGCCTTTCTTTTCTCCTTTCACCTACTCTACCCAACTTTTTCACCCTTTCATCTCTTTAATTCTTCCTTCTAGACCTTTCTGCTCTCTTTACTAGGATACTTGTCCTTCGGGTATCCATCGGTTGAGTTACTTTCATTCACCACTCTATCTGCTCATTCTTTGTCTTAGTCCCATTCCACCATTTTTGTCTCCTCCAACGTACTACCCACCTTTCTCCTCATCACCTTTATTAGATCTACCTAGCTTTTCTAATATGTTCATTTTCTTCTTGTTCCCATTGTTCATCCATTTATACATATGCTTTTTTTTCTTCCTTAAATTATTTCGTTTCTTATCAGATCTGCCTAGTCTTTAACCCATCTACTTATTCTGTACCTTCTCTACTCAACTTTTTTTTTTTTCTTTTTTTTCTTGACTATTCCATATCTACTACGATATTTGTACTTCCTTTCCTCCAATCCATCTGCCAATTCTTTATTCTGCCTGTTCACATTCCCATTCCCCTGAAACAGGACTCGATATGTTCTCCTCATGACATTCTGGATAGCGATGGAGTTAGACGCATGTTTGTCACCTTCCAGTCCCTCATGCAGCATTGCCTGGGGCCTTCTAGACCTTGACTTTCCTCATCTTTTCACATCTGGACAGACGTCTGAGGACTTTCTTGCTTGCAGTGGCCGAAATCCTCTCCAGTTTCTGACGTCTGGTTTAAGACTCTTTCTTGTTTAAGGATCCTAAAATAGTCTCAGGAATTGGTAAACTTCGATTTTTGTTTTATATGGCACGTATAAATATGCTGCAATTGTTTACATTCCATATCACAATGTACATATTATATTTCCGTCCTTGAGATACTTCCTGTTGTATTAAAGTTTCAATTGCTATAATAAAATATAAAAAAAACACTGCATAATGGTGCGTTTATTGTGTATTTTTTGGGTTCTCCCTCATTACTGTACCCCAAGAAATAATTCACCCTGCGCTCAGGTTCCACTTAATAACCCGGCCATCAATCTGGGAGGTGTGAAAATAGCAGAGACCGCAATCTGCAGAAGTCAGAGTGCAACAACAAGGAACACAAGCGACACTCCAAGATCTGTGATGGTTTTCTTTATTGTTGGGTAATTTTTTTTTTAATTTTATTTTTTTAAATAAAAATTAGACGTTTTG